CCAGAGGTCGCATCTAGTCCAGCCCCTGCCTGAAGCAGGATCAGCTCTGTCCAAACCAGCCCAGACAAATGCACTGTCCGACCTCTTAGCAAAACTACGCAGTCAGCCCTGGCATGAGACAGCACACCCTAAACTGCCACAGGTAAAGCAGGGGAACTGTGGCGGCCAATCTCCTGCTTCTACAACAGGCTGTTAATACACGCTGGAGAGACCCTGGGCAAAACCTGCCCAGTCCAGACCCATCTGTCCCCAGTACAGCGTCAGGCTGAGCCTGAGTGCAAGGGCATGACTCTGTAGCCAGGACCCTGTGGGGTCGGTCCCAGCAGGGGCATTGGCTCAGCCCAGTCCCCATCCCCAGCCTGGGCTACAGCACCCAGCGCATCTGGGGGGAGACTTAAAAATCCCAACCCGTGGAGCACAAAGGGGCAGGGACAACCAACAAAGCCCAGGAGCTTGGCCAGGAAGAGGCCATCGGACATCTCAGTAAGACTAATGCAAACACTGGTGGGAGGGAGGAGTCTGCAGACGGAGAGGTGAGCGTGGCGTGGAGGAGGCCGAAAGACGGGACAAGGAGGGGTGGCAGGGACGGTTGGAGGGGCAGGAAGCAGAGCACAAGGAGCACTCTGTAATGGAGGAGAAGAGCATGATGGGAAGGGGAGGACCCACCAGGATCAGCATGCTTCTTGCTGACCTCCTGCTTGACACCCCAGGACTATATCTGGTGACCCCCACCCCGGCTGGTCCCGTCTGCCCAACCTAGAGCCAGACTTTGAGAAGGAGATGCTCAGGCTCAATTTACAGACATGGAGCAATGCAGGATTTGCCAGGCTCCTCACACCTGCCTGTCGTGCAGAGAAGTCGGATGGCTGGAACAGGGAGAGCGTGGACTTGGCAGGACCGCGCAAGGCGCGAGTCTGCCATAGAAGCAAGCAGGAAGATCTTGGCGTTGTTGCACCGCGCAACAACTAGCCTGGAGGGGGAAGAAGTTGCTCGGCAGTGGAATGGAGCAGCACTGGGAAGATGCAGGTACCAGTTAGGCAGCCTTGTCTGGGATGGCCGGGACAGGGATGGAGTGAGCGTGACCTTGGAGCCCTGACTGCCGTGCTCTGCAGGTCAGACCTAGGGGTACAAGAATGGGGCAAAGCAACCAAGAATGATGGCAAGGGTTGTCTGGAGATGTCAATAACTGGACTCTGCACAGGAAGAGGAAAGAAGAGAGGATGGGGAGGAAGAGAACAGAAAAGTGTCATCAGCCCCAGTGGGCTGGGCAGCCCAGAAGGAGTCAGGGGAGCTGGTAGAGATGGCAAGTAGTGGCAATGAGAGGAGATTGAAAGGGATGCGGCGATGGCCAGAGGTGGAAGGATGCGGCACAGAGAGCAGAGTGCTGGGCTTGGATGGGATCAGGTCAGGGGAGTGGTGACCATATGGAGCAACTCCAAGGAGGGGACAGGCAGCAGGGAGTTGTCTGGGGGAATCCCAGGTTGCCAGAGATGGGCACAAAGGACCTGGTGGAGGAGCAGATGCAGAACCAGGACCTGAGCAGCAGTGAGAGGGGAGGGAGCAGCTGGAAGCAGCAGTGGCAGGAGAGGAAATATTGAGAGCAGCAAAGCAGGGAGGAGGAAGTCATAGACCTTTCTGGACCAGAAGCAGGCAAGCGGGAGAGGGCAGAGGTGGGGACAGAAGAGAGGCTGCCTGGAACGAAGGTGGGGAGGGGGACTTGATGGAGCTAGTACTCCACGCTCAGCCTCAAGCCTGGGAATGCTGCGAGTTGCTTGCATGTGCCTAACCTGTTTACCTCCATTGCCTGGACTGCATTGCTGGGGAAGAGGCGGGCAGGAGGTCGAATCGACCTGCAGTTCAGGACAGTGTTGGACACAGCGCCCTGTGAGGCACTGTTAGTGACCACAGGGATGCTGAGGATTAGCAAAGAGCTGTGGGGAGGGTGTGGAACATGCTCACGGGGAGACAACAGCAAGTCATGCTCAGACAGGCAGCATACGGTTGGCGGGAGGTGGTGAGAGGAGTTGTTCAAGGCTCGGTCTCGGGGCCCGTTCAATGTAGTATTTTCCATAATGATGCTGACACAAAACTCAGGAGCCACCAATGAAATGTGCCAGGAAGCATCACAGAGCCCTAGGAGGGCTGGCCTAGCACAGGGGAAGGGCCAGGCAACCGCGAGACCCAGAGTGGTAAGAATAAGATGAAATTCAGTGGACAAAATCTTGCACTTTGGGCCTCAACTCAGCAACTGAAGAGAGGTGGCAAGAGTTAGCGACTCGCAGGGCGACTATGGGCTGCCAGTGTCACGCAGCTGTAAAGAGAGGCTGAGGCAACCCTCAGGTGCGATGGGTTCAACAGAAACGGGGAAACCTGGATGCTGGGGGGGGAGGCACTGGCAAGACCACATCTCTGGTCCCTCCCCTGCCCCGTTCATGAAAGGCATCCAAAGGGAGCCGGTGCAGTGAAGGGGGGTCCCAGGTTAAGAATCCTGTCACATGGATGAGAAGCAGGGAGCTGGGTTTATTCAGCAGAGGGGAAGGCTGCACAGGCCAAGTGGGGCTGGGACCCCCATTCAGAAACACTGAGTGAGTTCACAGCAGAAGGGAGCTACGAAAGCACACGAGCCATGAGCACATTGGAGCAGGAAAGCAGGTTTGCACAGGCACATGCAGCGAGGTTCAAGGGAGTAGCTGGGGAAAGGACCTGAGCGAGCTTCAAGGTGACGCACAACCTGATCTGTCTGTTAATAGGACTGTTCAACATGGGGCTCAGGATACCCTCGAGTCAGTGGCTCAGGCCTTCTCTGGGCCCATGCCCACGTTTCCCAGGGTCCCAGAGCCGGTGGGCAGGACTGCCTGTGAACAATTACATCTATGTAGAATGAGGCCCGACACAAGCCACACCGTGAGCAACGGCACCACCTGAGCTAGCTCCCAGCAAACAGCAGCAGAAAGTTCCCGGAGCGACTGGCTGCATCAGAGCCCCTCTGTGTCCAGCTGGCTGCAACTGCTGCACGTGCCTGCCCCTACTCTGGTCCCTGCACCATGGCCACTGCTGCAGCCTGGGGCTAGCACTGAGGACCCCCCGATCCCCTGTGATCACTGCTTCATCCCTTCCCTTACACAAAACACAGCTGGTTTTCAGGGGTGACTGTAATCCCAGTTCCCAGAAAGCATGAGGAGGAAGGCTGCAAACTGCCTGCCCCTGCTGCAGTCACACAGTTGGGAAGGGGCACATCCCCCCAGGGCGCAGATGGACAGGAAGGCTCTCAAGGGGCTCAGAAGCTTTCCCCAAGACATGCAAGCTCTGAGTACTGATGGTGAGAGATTCCCCCTTGACAGAAGAGTCAACATTTAAGCTGTTCCCCAAGCTCTGAAAGGAGGGACAGTGAGAAGAGAGGGCTCTGGGGAAGTGTTCAGCTGTGATTATGCTAAAACATGTGACCAAGACCGGTCACTGCCATCCCAGCTCAGCTGTACTAGTGCAGACTTGTGGAGAAGCAAGTTTCTGGTGCTGCTATCACTACAGTTAAACTAGTCTACCCGGCCTGGCCATAAGGACTCTGAAAGCTGGAGGGGCCTTCTTTACGTTACAACGCCTGCTGGTGCCAGTGTCAATGCCGCCCTGCGTGCCATGTTCTGTCACGGAGATGGGGCCGCAGAGGTCACTGCAATACCAACGACTTAATACACGAGACACAACCTCACATGGGCAGCCAAGGCTGGACCACCTGGAGCAGCTTTCCATTCACAAGGGAGAAAATAATGTCTTAATGGACATAGGAACTGCATTCACCTCAGGGTGCAGAAGCATCTCCCCAGGGACAGGTGGGGCTCCTGGAGGAACTGAAAGAACAGGGAGCCCAAAATCTGGTTGCAGGAGAGGACTGCAGAGAACGGATGCAGCTCGGGCAGCGCGCTAGGAGGCCATGGCCACCACGACAGCCCTGGGCTTAATTGCAGTCTGACCCCTAAGGCGGCAGCACTTGGGAACTGGATGTGTGCCCATGGAGAGCTCAGCTCCTCCTGCAGAGGCAGGACAGCAGCAGAGGTGAAGGGTACAGATGTCAGGAATGGCAAGAGGGGGATCCTCACGGGACCTGTCTCTATGCAGGAGCAAAGGCAGGCCTTGGTGCTGGGAGGTGGCCTGCGGTGGGCAGGAGCACCCACTCGGGAGCAAGAAGCCTGGCACTGAGCATGCGACAGTAGGAAAAGTTTGCACAAAGCTAGAGGAGGGACTGTCTTTGGGGATCAGGCGGCTGTTGGCCAAGGGAGATCAGGATAGATGTAATGCCAGGGCTCTGCCCCAGAGAGCACAGGGGGGTGCAGCTCAAGGCATCAGACATGGGGACTGCCTGGTGGCTCCGCAGAGGGAGGAGTCCGGAGCCTGCCGAAGGAAGTGGGAGGGATAAGCGGTGGGAAGGAGCTTCGATGCACCTACGTGTGCTGCAGGCCCCACAGAAAAGAGACAGCTGCACTTGCCCCCGGGGATGTAAGAGTTAATCATTCCCCGGACAATCCGGACCCTTTGAGCCCGCGGGCTGCAGGCAGCGACTAATCCAGGGCGCTTCCCAGGGAACGCGGTTGGAGCCCCGGCATCGGCTGCACGGCTGGCCATTGTGACGTGCTGAGGAGCCTTCCCTGGCAGGCGCCGAACTCCGCACCGGCGCCGGACTGCACTCAGAAACAGGGATTCAACCCCCTTCGCAGCCCAGGGAGCCCCAGTGCCCGGCGATGCCCCAGGGCCATCCCCACCCTGCCAGCACAGCGCCGGCACGGGGCCCTGAGCACGAGGGGAGGGCAGGCAGGCCGCGGCGTGCTCACGCTCCCAGCCCAGCCCAGCCCAGCCCCGGCTTCGCTCTCTAGACCTGCCCCCAGCAGGCTGCTCACTTCTTAATTAGATTTTTTTAAACAAAAAGCAAAAGTATTTGTTAAAATCCATCGGATTAAACAAAGGTGCTGAGCTGACTGTGAAGGGAATAGGAAATGAAAGCGACTCACCCTCTGAGGGAGAATTTTGTCAGCCATCTTCCTCCTCTTGGCACTGTACATTTTTTAAAGAAAAAAACACGTTACCATGGTGACAGATCTAGGAGTAACGAGGCCACCTGCTAAATTATCCTGACATCTCCACATGCTGGTGCACAGCTGTGCAGGCATTGGCAAAAGGGTCTCACCCACGGCCCATACCTGGGACCCCCACTCCCCATGGCCAGGGGACGGCCCAGAGCAGACCCAGGCTGCCTGCAGGCTCTGAGGAACGAAGCCTGCGAGGTCCCGGACCAGCGGCCTTCTGCTGTGCGGAGCGGCACTGTGTGTGCGTCTGCGCAAGCACATGCCTTCCATGAGGGCAGGGGGGTGCGGGCAGCCACGTGTGCATGTGTGTGTGCACGCACATGGCGCTTCACGAGTGTCAGTGGATTGACCATGAACATGTTTGAGCAGCTTTATATGTCTCCATGTTTATGCAGGTCCACGTGAATGCATGACAACACACATGGCTGCATGTGTGGGTGCACATTGTGTCTGGCAATCAGCACATGGATGGATGCACACCTGTGACTGACAAAGACGTGTGTGTGTGTGTGTGTGTGTGTGTGTGTGTACACACAGAAAGGAGTGCACTCTAGGCACAAGTATGTGTATGTGTCTCCATGCAAGGGTGCCTAGGCACACACTCCCTTGTCTGCACACATCTGTGCACAAGCCACAGTGCTGTTCCATGTACCCAGCCCAGGCATCAATCATCCCTGGAGCCTGACACGGCTTGTGCCCAAAGTCTTTTGCTGTGGACGGCTGGTGCCTAAATTCTTGTGCTGTGGGGAGGGGCCCTCAGCATTCCTGCCCCCCTCCCACTCTCTCCAAAGGCCCCTTATGTCTCTTTCTAAAGGGCCCTGTTTCCACGCTCACTAGTGATGTGCATACACCCCCTTCCCTCCTACCCTCTCCCAGTTATAACCAGATCTCACACAGCAGCTTCCCGTGAGCCCAGGCCTGAGGCTACATTTGTGTGTGGAGGGAACTACCGCTACCTCCACTCTCCCAGCCCTGCTAGGGTCTGGTCCAGGGCAGTTGTGTGCGTGCAGACACACACACACACACACACACACACACACGTGTGCCATGTGGGCAGGGCAGGGACCTGAGGAAGCAGGGGAATGCTAAAGCTGGACCATTTCATGATGGAGGCTCAGTGCCAGCTGGCAGGCTGGGAGGGAGCAGAGGTGCGAGGACCCAGAGCCATCCACAGGAAACACAATTAAGAGGGAGAAGGGAAAGGCAAAGGCAAGCAACAGGCTAAGTCCCAGCCTAAAGGAAATTGGGGCATGTACTACAGCTCCCCCGTCTTCCCACAGCCCACTAGACACCTGGAATTTACCATCCCTGCCTGTATCATGCCTGCCAATGCAGAGATCCTTATTCCCTACCCAGACCCTGCCAGAAAAAGGGTGCTATGGGCCCCTGAGCCTAGCCAGATGCAGTGGGAAATTTGGCTCTGGAAAGCAGAGCAGCTTCCCAGGAGGGGCAGGGGCAGGGGCTCCTCAGAGTAACACAGGCAACAGCTCCAGGGAGAGGAGACACGTGGAGGGAGTGGGGCGAGAGAGGTGGCTGCTGGTATCCCCAGGCACGGCTGCAGGGGGTCGGGTGCACTCCCTGCAAAGGGATCAACACAGGGCTGGGAACCAGAAGCACCAGGTGGATCAGAGGGCTGAGGAAATGTGCTTCCTGCTGCAGCTGGGCCAGCCAGCTCTCCGGGGACAAGCCAATTCTCAGAGGGTGAAGCCCTGAGAACAGGTCAATGCCCCTGGATACCAGAGCGTGCAGCAATTGGGACAGGGTGGGGGGAAGAGGAGGAAGTGGAGGGGATGCTCATGGGCTAGCACCAGGCTCGGCCGTCTGACACCCAGCCGTGCCAAGCCCACACACCCTCCCACAGCATTTCCTTGGAGCGCGCGCGCGCACACACACACACACACACACACACACACACACACACACACACACACAGAGCACTGGTGCCCTTTCTGGATGTGCCCTGATGTCCAGATGTGCTGGGACACACTGGAAGTTCACTAGCTGCTCCAGTGCATCCAACCTGGACCTAAAGGAGCTACAGGGAAGCAGTTACAACCTGTAGCCAGATGAGCCGTGCCCTCAGTGCACTGTTTGAGCTGGCAAGCACACGCAGTGCTCGTGCTCCAGATGTGTAGGTGCTCCAGGGGAGCAAGCCCCAAGCAGTTACTGTTTGGCCTACTATACTGAGCCTGGAGAAACCGGCTCAACAATTTGCAAATTAAGGGTCTGCTGAGCTCTCACCATTTCACTTTCCAAGCAGAATTATAAGCCATTATAATGCTGCTATAACAGACTATGCTGCAGTGTACAACAGCGCGTAAACACTTATGAACTGGGCTGGGCATGAGGTTAAAGATGGGTAACTTCTACCAGAAAAGACAAGGGAAACCAGAAGTTACTCCCCCAGCTCCAATAATTTTCTGAGGATTCCACCAATGATTTAATTTGTGAGAACAACTGTGGAAAGTGAAAGCTTCATGAATCCTCATGCAAATGCATTTTGCCTTAAGGATCCTGGCATGAATATTCATGTGACCAGGCTGAAATCTCCTCAGTTTACCTCCTCTTGCTCACAAGCAAATGCAGGGAGCCAGTCAGCCAGCAGAAACATTACTAGGCCAATCAACCAGTCAGGTGACCAATCAAGGTGCAGTGTGGAAACAAAGTTGAAAGCAGAGGTCGGGAACGTTCGTTCTGTGGCTGGAAAAGAGCTGGCCCCGCACCCAGGCCAAGCAGGCTTATGGCCCCCAACAGCTCGCTCCCACACAACTCGAGGCTTTGCTCAGACAATTCAAGACCAAAAGACAGGGTAACACCTGCTGAACGTGGTCTGCACGGCCCCTGCTCCCAGCCGGGGAGAACGGACACGTCTGCTCCGTGTCTTTCTGCCTGCCGCTTGCTCGGGCCCCCTCCCCAGTGCTCACCTCCTGCTGCGGCTCTGGGTTGCCTGCTGCTGCTGCTGCTGCACTTGCTGCTGCACCTGCTGCTGCTGCACCTGCTGCGGCGCTGTGCGCTTGCGCGTCGGCTCCATCACGGCCTGGGGCATCCCGGGGCGCACTGAGGGGCTTCCCACGTAGGCAGGGCCTGGGGGACCCATTGGTGCCCCCTGATGGGGCATTCGAGCACCTGATGGCATCCCAGGACGCTGCAGAAGAAGCGAAAGAGAGAGAAATGCTAGGTGAGTTGCTGCTACTGCAGCAGCCGTGGTGCTGGGGTACAACGAGCCCTTGTCCCAGCGCCAGGACTGGCGAGCTCCTAAGCTTCGGCCCTTCTGCCCAGCCATGGACTCAGTCCTGGCACTCCCTGGTCCTCAGAGGTGACCCCAACGGTAGGGTGGGCTGGTGACGGTGCAGGAGAGGCTGGTGCTGGGAAGACACCGAGAGCACCAGTGACAGTGGAACAGTCTAGGCCTTGTACTGCAGCACACAGTGCCGGGGCTGACCACAAAGGGCAGAGGAGCCACGGCTGGCCCAGCAGCCTGTGGCCAAGGGTAAAACTCAGGGGAGAAGGGCAAAGCGCTCGCCCCGAGGAGCTGCCAGGGGTCAGCACGAGAGCATGAAGTGACAAGAGGGAGTCCACGGCACCAGGTCTCTTCCGAGAGCAGAGGAGCCCAAGGGCTGGGCAGCGTCCCCCTCAGCATGCAGCAGTCCCATGGCAGCGGGCTCCGGTCCAACAATCAGCTCGATGCAGTACCGGATCCAGGATACAGTTGGTCCTGGCAGCAAGATGCTAACTGTCCTTGGGAACGACCACAACCCAGGAAGCAACTGAGCCTTTACAATGCACCATGGGGCACAGAGAGGAGCTCAGTCTCCTGCTGGGCACCTCCACACGATATACTTGAGTTGGGGCATTTTATCCTCATTTCCCCTGAGGTATGGACTAGATAACAGAGCCCTTGCACCAGCCACAGGCACCGGGCAGGGGCTGACACCAGCAAACCACCACACGACCCAGCTCTATGGCCTGGCCAGGCACCAAGTGCCCCGCGCTGCCCAGCCTCCTCACAAGGCCAAGGGCACAGCTGGTCCCAGCCACAGGCGCAGGGGCTGGAAGGGACTGCAGGGCATGCAGTCCAGCCCCTGCTTGGGCTGGCGGCGCTGGAGGGGCGGACGGACCCCGAGGGAGGGAAGAGAAGGGGTACAAACCACAATGGGCAACTGTGGGGTGGAGGAGGGTCCACTGCAGAAGGCCATTAACTGCTGGCAGCAGGTGGAGGAGACGGCCGCCAAGGGTGGGGCAAAGAGGGGATGGAGGCCATGGCACAGGGCCAGAAATGTCTTCAGCTGTCGTGGCTCGTCCCCGCGGCACAGCCACCGAGGTGGCGCTGACAGCTGCCCGGACACGCCGGCTCCTTCCCCGCTCCTCCCCCAGCCCAGGCTTGACCACAGCCCAGTCACAAGCAGCAAGTGGCTCAGAAAATCCCTCGCAAGAAGGCGCTGAGTGGAGTCTCCTGTCGCCTGTCAATCCACCAGCCATGGCCGCCTTCCAGCCGAGACCAGGCCACAGGCAGGGCAGCTGCCCCATACCCACCCTGGGATGCTACCTGGCGGGGGGCACTGCCTGTGGCCACTGCGTGACCAGAGGGGCTGGGGCAGTGGCAGACCCTGCTGCTGACTGACCTTACCCCTATGAAGGCCTGGGAGCTCCCCGCTCTCCGGCCATGCTGAGGGGGCATCACACCAGCAAGCAGGAAAGCAGCTGCGCTGGAAAAAGGGCAAGTCCCTGGTACCCATGGCCTGTGCTCTACCGCTTCTCGTGCCCCACCTCCCCTGTGCTCTGCCTCATTCCTTCGCCCTCCTGCTCCCAGGCCTGGGCCCTCCCCGTCTGCGCAGCCCTCCGACCTGGCACGACCGCCCCTCCAGGGTGCCCAGACCCCTCCGCGACTGGGGCCAGGGTGACCAGGCTCCACCGCCCACAAAGAGGGAAGGGCTGAGCCCTTCCTGGGAGTCCCGCACGCACCCGGTGCCCTCTGCGCTCTGCCCATCGTGCCTGGGCAAGGCCACGCCGTAGGCAGTGCCACAGCCGCGCCCAGGGGCAGCAGCACCCAGGGCAGGGCCAGGCGCGCAGCAGCGACCGCGACCTGCAGAGACACGTGCTGCGTATCGCTGGCAGCAGCAGGAGGAAGGGAGGGAAGGGTAAAACAAGAGTGAATGCGAGGGAACCCTGCTTTGGGCGAGACGGGCCTGATTGCGAGTCTCCCCCCTCCCCCCGGAGCGGCTGGGATCAGGGCTGTGACGAGCAAGGGGAAGGGATCTGTAAGCGAACCCTTCCCCCTGGACAGCTATCGCTGCAATGTCATCAAGTTTCTAGTGGAGCTGCCAAGTCAGGGTCCACGCTGCTCCGGCTCCTGCCCCGAGGGGCCTTGCCTGCTGCCCAGCTCAGCAGCGAGTGCTCCCGCACTCCCCTTCCCAGCACTTTCCCATGCCCCGTCACCGGGGTCCAAGTATTCCATGATCCCACAGCTGTGGCATTTGCTGCAGACTCCACCCACGGCTGCACACTGTGCATCGCTATCTAACCACCCTCGCTCGCCAGACCCGGCACGGCTCATGTCTGAAGCCCAAACCTTGACTGCAACCTCTCTGAGGCAGTGACCCGCTTTCTGCTGGGAGTATGTGCAGTGCCTAGCACAATGGGGCCCCAAACCTTGATGGAGTCTTCTAGGCACAGGCAACTGGTAG